AGATACCTCAATATTATATATATACTTGTATAACTATAGATATATATAGATATATATAGAATGGAGCTTGTAGTGGCGGCTGACTTTGTGGGTACTCTGCTAGGGTTTCCATGGAGCTCCTGATTTTATGGTTGCTTACTGGTTCCTTCTCTTTCTCTAGTGACTTCTCTTTCTCTAGTGACTTCTCTTTCTTCTGGGTGTTTTTCTTATTGAGGTTTTCTGGTTTTGTGCTTACCGGGAAAACTTTATTTGAATCAGTTACTATTCTATTGGTTTTGTTTGATTATGGTTGAGCTTAAAAATATGGATTTATCCACCAATGCTCAATGGGCTAAGGCCACGTTTGTTGATGTGGTGGGTAAAGGAGCGGATACAGTTAAGGATTTTGATGACCTTGTTTTCCCCTAGAGCTATCATGAGGAGGCTGACTCTTTTATTAAATCCTTGAGTAGGAAAAATGGGAAGGTGGCTATCTTTTATAATGATTCAGAGATACGAAAGCTGACTGAGGTTTGTAAATTTTCTCTCATTGGTAAGTTTCAGATGGGACACCCAAAAATGGAAGCCATCAGAAAATTCTTTGATGGCATTAAACTCAAAGGTTCTTGGTAGGTGGGTCTCATTGATGGCAAGCACATCCTTATTAAATTGTCAAGAGAAGATGATTATGCTAGAGTTTTCTCAAAACAGAGTTGACAGATTGATGGTATTACTATGAAGATCTTAAAATGGTCCACTGAGTTTGACCCGAGCAAGGAGCTGCCTGTAGTTCCTATTTGGTTTAAACTTCCTGGGTTTGAAGCTTCATTTCTTTAATCATAAAGTTCTGTTCAATATTGGTCAAGCTCTGGGGAAACCTTTGAAGTTGGATGTCCCCACTTACAACCTTTCTAGACCTTCAGTATCTAGAATTTTAGTAGAAAGGGATATCACCCTTCCTGTTGTGGAGGAAATCTGGTTGGGGACTGAGCACAATGGCTATTGGAAAAAGATTGTTGCTGAACAGAAGCCATACTACTGTTTCCATTGTAGTATGTTAGTTCACACTGATAACAAATGCTACAAAAGCCATCCCCATCTCAGAAGAATGTTTGTGGGGACCTCTTCTAAGGAGGCTGATCAATTAACTGTTGATGTGGGGCTGTTGAGAAAAGAGGATTTTGATAGTCCTTTGAATCAAGAGATAACCAAGGGCAGTGAGGATGATGGCCTTTAGGGTATCATCCCTACCCAAGATGTGAATGATGACATTCTTGACCAGCAGGGTGTTAAAGCCAAAGCAAATGATATTTCAGAAGTTGATCTTGTTGGCTGCAACGAGAAAACCAATGAAGTTCTAAACACTGACTTGAACACTATGGTGGGGGATACTTTTAAGGATTTAGGGGCTAAGGTTGCCCTGGGAGAACAACAGATTGACACATCCTTAATTAAGGAGTTTCAGACAGTCGTGGAGGATGAATGGTAGGTCCAAAAAGCAAGGAAAAAGAAAAAGGGTTTCCATGCTTTAAACTTTGAAAAAGGGGGAAGTTACATTCTCAGGGATAGAAAATCTCATAAATAAGCTCTAGAGGACATGGCTAAAGCAAGAAGGAGGAGAAAATCTATTTCTATTGGATGATGAACTTTCTATGTTGGAATGTTAGGAGATTGGCACATCCTAAATCCCTTAATAGGTGATGGCCTTAAATAGGATGTATAAATTTTGGATGATGGCTATTCTGGAGCTTATGGTCTCTAAAAATTCCCAGAGAATTATAAATAAATTCCCTGTTTTTCTTTTTGCCTCAAATTTGAATAATAAGATTTGGGTGTTACATAGGAAGGAGATGTCTTGCAGTATACTGTGGGATCACCAACAATTCCTCCATATCAAGCTTCAAGTGGGGAGTCAGTCTGGTCTGGCTACTTTTGTATATGCTGGTTGTTCTCCTAGTCCTAGAAAGGATCTGTGGGAGAGTCTTTTAGCTATTAGTAGCTCTTGTAACTCTTTTTGGATGGTTGGAGGAGACTTTAATTGTACTTCAGTACCTTCAAAAAAGTTGGGTGGTGCCCCACCTGACCTCAACAAGATGAATTATTTCAATGATCAAAGCAACTTGGCTTGCCTGTATGACCTTGGTTTTTCTGGTCCACAATTTACATGGAGAAGGGGTCAAACTTGGGAAAGGCTAGATAGAATTTTTGTGAATTCCATGTGGTTTAGTGAGTTCATTCACACTTCTGTGCAACATCTCAGCATGACAGGATTAGATCATAGACCACTACTTATGAATATTTCCGCATCAAAGGTTAAGCACAAGCCAAGTTTTAGATACCTCAATATGTGGTCCTCCCACCATGACTTCCTAAATCAGGTCTCATTGGTTTGGAGGGACTGTCACCATCCCAACCCTCTGATTAAGTTATGGCAACTGCAAAAGAAGTTAGGTAGACATTTATCTAACTGGAATTGAAAAACAGTGGGTGATATCAACTTAAATGTTGTGGAGGCTGAAAAGACTGTTGCTAAGTTGGAGGCTGAATTAGAGAGTAACCCTAAAGTGGAGAAGGATTTATTGATTGCTAATGAAAATTTGATGAATGCCATCTGTATGCAGGAGGATTTCTTTGCCCAAAAGGCTGCTAAGACCAGATTTTGTGAAGGGGATAGAAATTCAAACTACTTTCATGCATGTATCAAGTTTAGAAGAAAGTGCAACACAATACATAAGATAAAGGAGAATGATGGCAAGTGGCTCCATTCTGAAGAATTGATTGCTGCTAGTGCTGTTAACTACTACCAAACACTCTTTAAACAACCATCTGATTTTAGGCCCCCCATCCAGTAGGATTTGTTTTGCAGGGATGAGAACTTCATGAGGGGACTGGATCTGACCTCTATTCCTGGGGAAGAGGAAATTTGGTCTGCTCTGGCTTCCATTGATAGCTCCAAAGGTTCTGGACCTGATGGATTTTCTGCAGATTTTTACAAAAAATCATGGAAGATCATTAGAGATGATAATGTACAGGCTGTCCAAGGTTTCTTCAGAGGTTTGGATCTCCCCAACTATTTTAAATGCTCCAACATAACTCTTATTCCCAAATCTTCTTCTGCATTCTCTTGGGATCTTTTTAGGCCCATAAACCTCACTAATGTGATATCCAAACTGATTAGCAAAGTGATCTCCAACAGACTCCAACCCATACTTCCCAAACTTATTTGTGAGAACCAGTCAGCTTTCATCAAAGGGAGAAGTATTGTAGAGAATGTTCTGCTAGCCCAAGAAATGGTGTTGGATCTGGAAAAGCAATGCAGAGGGGGGAACTTAATAATGAAATTAGATATTAAGAAGGCTTATGACACCATCAACTGGGAGTTCATTGAGGAAGTGTTGTATGCTAAGGGTTTTAATGAACAATTTATCTTGTTGATACATAGATGGCTTCAAAATAACTCTCAATCTGTGTTTATTAATGGTAAATCTCATGGTTTCTTCAACTCATCTAGAGGAATTTAGTAAGGTGATCCACTAACTCCAACTATATTCATCATTGTGTTTGATTACTTCTCTAAATTGTTGAATCAGCTCACGGTTCCATCCCCTCATACACTATACAGTCATAGCTCTAATATTGTTGTGAATCATTTAGCATTTGCTGATTACCAGATTTTGTGAAGTAGATAGAAATTCAAAATACTTTCCTGCATGTATCAAGTTTAGAAGAAAGTGCAACACAATACATAAGATAAAGGAGAATGATGGCAAGTGGCTCCATTCTGAAGAATTGATTGCTGCTAGTGCTGTTAACTACTACCAAACACTCTTTAAACAACCATCTGATTTTAGGCCCCCCATCCAGTAGGATTTGTTTTGCAGGGATGAGAACTTCATGAGGGGACTGGATCTGACCTCTATTCCTGGGGAAGAGGAAATTTGGTCTGCTCTGGCTTCCATTGATAGCTCCAAAGGTTCTGGACCTGATGGATTTTCTGCAGATTTTTACAAAAAATCATGGAAGATCATTAGAGATGATAATGTACAGGCTGTCCAAGGTTTCTTCAGAGGTTTGGATCTCCCCAACTATTTTAAATGCTCCAACATAACTCTTATTCCCAAATCTTCTTCTGCATTCTCTTGGGATCTTTTTAGGCCCATAAACCTCACTAATGTGATATCCAAACTGATTAGCAAAGTGATCTCCAACAGACTCCAACCCATACTTCCCAAACTTATTTGTGAGAACCAGTCAGCTTTCATCAAAGGGAGAAGTATTGTAGAGAATGTTCTGCTAGCCCAAGAAATGGTGTTGGATCTGGAAAAGCAATGCAGAGGGGGGAACTTAATAATGAAATTAGATATTAAGAAGGCTTATGACACCATCAACTGGGAGTTCATTGAGGAAGTGTTGTATGCTAAGGGTTTTAATGAACAATTTATCTTGTTGATACATAGATGGCTTCAAAATAACTCTCAATCTGTGTTTATTAATGGTAAATCTCATGGTTTCTTCAACTCATCTAGAGGAATTTAGTAAGGTGATCCACTAACTCCAACTATATTCATCATTGAGTTTGATTACTTCTCTAAATTGTTGAATCAGCTCACGGTTCCATCCCCTCATACACTATACAGTCATAGCTCTAATATTGTTGTGAATCATTTAGCATTTGCTGATGATGTTATTATCTTTGCCAAAGCAACCAAACCAGCAGTTAAAATGGTCCTTCAATGTCTGGAGATATTTCAGCAATGTTCTCGTATGCATTTCCATACTAAGAAATGTCTTTTGGTGTTTAGCAAAATAGTTAAACCTCAAATTAAGAATTGGACTACTGAACTTAGTGGCTTCAAGACCAGCTCTTTGCCATTAAAATACTTAGGTACTTTGCTTGTGAAGGGGAAAACAAGACAAGTTCAATTTGATGACTGTATCACCAAAATTCAGAACAAACTAAACTGCTGGGTAAATTCATTCCTTTCGAATGGGGGTAGAGTTACTCTTCTCAAAAGTGTATTGACAGCTCTTCCATCCTATATCCCCTAGGTTTCTGTTATGAAAAGGTCAACACAGTTAACTTTGGAGAGAATGTTTAATAGATTTTCGTGGGCAGGTCAGAGGAAGCAAATGCATTGGACTAGTTGGCAAAAGCTATGTGGAAGTACTAGTGCTGGTGGGCTGGGCTTCAAAAGCGTCATTCAGATCTCTCAAATCAATTTTCGTAAGCTTTGGTTGATGTTCAGAGCCCAGAGTTCTCTTTAGGCTAAATTTTTGAAGGGAAAATACTGTAGAGAGTTCCATCCCTCCCTTGTTACTAAAAGACTTGGGGATTCCAGGGCCTGGACCAATATGCTAAAAGTCAGAGCACTGGCTGAAAATCTTTTCATCTGTAAAATTGGTGAGGGCAAGCTTAATATCTGGCTGGATAATTGGACTGGTGAGGGCTTAATCAACACTTCATATAACCCTCAATTAAATTCTACAACTCAGGTGGCTGACCTATGGTTCAATGGGGAGTGGAACCAGCAAGCTTTACAGAATATACTGGACAATACAACTTTACAGAAGGTTATGAAAAGCAACATTGATAAAGATAGTAAAAATATCCTGATTGTGAAAAGAAGGTGTCCCAGTATTTATCTGCAGCCATTGATAACTTGTGTTTTCCTTAACACAGAGTCAGCCAGAGTAAATGTGTGTGGAATAAATACCTAACCCCTTCAATGTCATTTTTCTCTTGGCGATTACTCCATGACTTTCTACCCACAGATGATATACTGAAGTTAAAAGGCTTGAGAGGTCCCTCTAGATGTGGGTTATGTAACTCCCATGAGGAAACTATAAAGCACTTATTTTTCCAATGTTCCAGAGTTAAACAGGTTTGGAACTGTTTAATTCCCAAACTGAAGTTAGAAACTGTTTTTTTTTCCTGGAATGATTTCTCCCTCAGCTGGAAGGATTGGCAAGATTAAGAATAACCCCCAATTCCTTCTATCACTGCTTGGTTTATATGGATGACTAGGAACAAGATTAAACATGAAGATATCTGGGTGGGAGCTGCTACCATAGCCACCAACTGCCTCAGCTATTTGCAGAGATTATATTATCCTGGGAAGCTTCCTAATATACTTCACTATACATCTCATAGTCTCCCCAGAATAATCAAGTATGCACTCATCCAGCTGATTCCTCCACCTAAGGGGAAAAATAAAGATAACACAGATGGTAGTTTTTCTAATTCTTATGCTGGTATTGGAGGGGTGTTTAGAAATAGTAATGGCAAGTGTTTACTCTACTTTCACTCTCCTACCATTGCTAAGGACCCTCTGGAAGCAGAAACTTTGGCTATTTATTGGGCTATGTTAATGGCCCAAAAGTGTAGCTTCACCTCAATTATATTAGAATCTGATTCTAGGGTTCTTATTGATATTATTGTAGGGAGGTTACCTACTCAGTGGTATCTGATGCAGTGGATTGGAATGATTCACTCCTTGGGAAAGGGCTTTAGATCCTCTTACTCACATATATGGAGAGAAGGCAATAGGCCAGCAAATTGGCTAGCCAAGGTAGGACTTCATTCTGAGATCCCAGGGGTAGGGAATTCTACTACCCCCCAGCTAGAGTTACTGTTGAAAGGAGGCACTGTTGCTCTAATGATAGCGGAAGCTATTATGTCAACGAGAAAGATATAGCACAAGAGAGATAGAGGGTGGAAAGGGAGTAGAGATAGTGGGAGGGACAAAAGAATATCGATATATATATATATATATATAAATGGAGGTGCTGGCGACTTATGAGGAATGAGGGAAGTGCTCTGTTAGTGTTTCTGCAGGGATGATGTTTGGTGGCTGCTGGCTGAAGAGGTGCTCTGAGTTGTTTGTTTGTGGTTTCTTATTCCTTTCTAACTTCTTCTCCAGGTGGAGGTGGATCTTTGTGTGTACATGCTGCTGGATTTTACTGTTCCATTGGTTCTCTCCTTGGCTGCTCTTTAGCTGCTAGTCTCTGTTCAGACATGACCACACCTATTGATGCTGCCACTGACTCTCTTTGGGCCAAGGTAACATGCTGGGGTTGTTGGAAACTCTATTGATGGTTTACAGGACCTGGATCATTTGGTTTTCCCTCACAAATTCCATGACACTACTGCAAGAAAAGGAAGTTGCCCCTGCATCCATCCACTTGGATCTAAGGAATGAGAAACTGTTGTGTTCTTTACCAACAGAGAAATAATCTCTCTAAAAGAAGATGTTAAGTTTACCTTAATAGGGAAGTTTCAGTTGGGACACCCAAAAATGGAGCTGATTAGAAATTTCTTTGAATCACTTAAATTTATTGGTAATTGGAAGATAGGGTTGTTGGATGGAAGGCACCTACTCATCCAATTAACTACTGAGGAAGACTATGCCAGACTTTTTGCTAAGCAATTTGTAATCATTGCTGGAACTACCATGAACATTGTAAAATGGACCCCTGATTTTGATCCAAGTAAAGAACCACCAGTAGTTCCTATTTGGTACAAATTCCCTTAGCTTCCACTTCCTTTCTTCAAGTTGAATGCACTGTTTAACATAGGGAGAGCTCTGGGCAAACCTTTGAAAGTAGATGCACCCACTTACAACAAAGCCAGACCAGCATTGGCCAGAATACAAGTGAAAAGAGTCATCACCCTCCCTTAAGTGAAAAGAATCTCGATTGGCTCAGATAATGTTGGTTTTTGGCAGAATATTGTCCCTGAACAGAAGCCTTATTACTGCCAACCTTGTAGAATGTTTGGCCATACAGTGGAAAGATGCTACAGAATACATCCACCAATCAAAAATCCACCAAAGTGGAAAGATGCTACAGAATA